TATTCTGTAAACTTTGGTTATGAGACTCTTGTCTTAGATGGTATTACCAAATGTGTATTCCTAGTTGGTAGATTCTCTTTTCACCCTATTGTAAAACGTTTTTGATGCACACAGGGATTTAATCTTTAAAAGGTCCCATTCATCAATTTTATCCTCTTCAGATTGGCATTTCTAACTGTATTTGGCAGTCTCTTTATACCGTAGACTAGGCCTTCTAAGCTTGATCCCAGTTTGTCTCTTGTGAACTTTTTGGTATGGGGCTTTACTCCCAGGTCTCTGATCCACCTTAAGTTGATTTTTACAAATGAGGTGAAAATAAGGATCCTGTTTCAGCTTTCTACAGGTGAAAGTCCAGCTTTAGCAGCACATTTTTTAAGAAGTTGTCATATCCTCAGATGATAGCTTTGATTACCTTGTTGAATATCCATTGACCATAGATGACAGAGTTTATTTCTGGGTTCTGAATTCTGTTCTATTGGTCTGTGTGCCTGTCATTGTACCAGCACCGTGTTGTTTTGGTTACTACTGCTATGTAGTAGGTTTTGAGGTCAGGGAGTGCTATACCTCCCACCTCACCTTTGTTTCTCACAACTGTTTTGCTTATTTGGGGTCTCTTACGTTTCTAAATAAATTTGACAATTTATCTTTTTATCTCCTTGAAAAATGAATGTGGTTGGGATTGCATTGAACAGGTAGATTGTTTTTTGTATGATTGTTATTTTCACAATATTGATTGAATCTTCATATCCTTGAACAGTGCACATTTTTCCATTTCTTTAGGTTTTTACTGTGTCTTGCAGAAATGCTGTGCAGTTTTCTTTGTATAGGTTTTTTTGTATCTCTAGTTAGATTCACTATCCAAGTATCTCAATTTGTGGTTGGCTATTGTAAATGGTATTGCTTTCTTGATTTCCTTCTCTGAGTTCTCTTTGTTACTGTAGAGGAATCCTACTGATTTTTGGATATTGATATTATATCTTGCCGTTCTACTAAACTGGCCTACTAACTCCAACGTTTTGTTGTTGTTGTTGTTGTGTTGTTGAGTCTTTGGGATTTTCTGTGTCTACTATCATATCATCTGCATATAGCGACAATTAAATCATCTCTTTGCTTATCTGGATACCTTTTATTTCCTTATCTTGTTGTATTGCCCTAGCAAGCACTTCCAATACAATATTGAATAGAAGTGGTGGCAGTGGGCATCCTTGTCTGGTCCCTGTTGACAAGGAATAATCTTTTAGTCTTTCTCCACTGAGAATGATGTTGGCTCTTGGTTTTGCATATATACGTTTCACTATGTTGAGGAAATCCCCTTCTATTCCAGGTTTGCTCAGTGTCTATCATGAAGGGGTGTTGTATTTTGTCAAATGCCTTTTCTGCATCAATTGCTAAGATCATTCTTATTATTTACTTTGTTAATGTAGTGAATTACGTTGATTGTTTTTCTTATGTTCAACTATCCTTACATACCTGTTATGAATCCAACTTGGTCATGGTGAGTTTGTTGTTTTTTTTTTTAATGTGCTTTTGTATTCTGTTAGTATGGTTTTGTTAAAGATGACTGCAGCCTTCAATATAGATTGAGGCTCAATATCAAGAAAACAAAAATTCTCACCACTGGACCAATTGGCAGCATCAGGATGGATGGTGAAGAGATTGAGATTGTTCAGAGCTTTAGTCTGCTTGGCTCCACAGTCAACACTC